TGGGGACTGAGACGTGGAACTGGGGCCAGACCTGGCTCTGGGGACTGGGACTCGGCCCTTGGGACTGGGTTCCAGCACTGGCACCAGTAGGCTGTGGGACTGGGATGTGGAACTGGGGACTGGAACGTGGAACTGGGGCCAGAGACGTGGAACTGGGGACTGGGATGTGGAACTGGGGACTGGAACGTGGAACTGGGGACTGGGACGTGGAACTGGGGCCAGACCTGGCTCTGGGGACTGGGACGTGGAACTGGGGCCAGACCTGGCTCTGGGGACTGGGACGTGGAACTGGGGCCAGAGACATGGAACTGGGGACTGGGACTCAGCCCTTGGGACTGGTTTCCAGCACTGGCACCAGTATGCTGTGTGGGACTGGGCACTGGCAGCAGGTACCAGGACCTGGCACTGGTCCCAGTTTGAGCACCGGTGCTGGGAAGCTGAGACCTGGTGCTGGGGACTGGGACGGGACTGGGGGGGGGGACAGAGGGAAGAGGGACCTCCCTGTCCCCAAGGCCCCACGGGGCGGTGGGTGCCAGCGCTCACCTCCCGTGTCGGGGTGACAGTGGGGTGACAGTGGGGTGACAGGAGGGTGACAGCGGGGTGATGGCGGGGTGACGGTGGGGTGATGATGGTGGGGTGATGGCGGGGTGATGGTGGGGTGACAGGAGGGTGACAGCGGGGTGACAACGGGGTGACAGTGGGGTGACGGTGAGGTGATGGTGGGGTGATGATGGTGGGGTGATGGTGGGGTGACAATGGGGTGACAGCAGGGTGACAGGAGGGTGACAACGGGGTGACAGCGGGGTGATGGCAGGGTGATGGTGGGGTGATGGTGGGGTGATGATGATGGGGTGATGGTGGGGTGACAGCAGGGTGACAACAGGGTGACAGGAGGGTGACACAGGCTCTTTTGGGGGCACCCAACCCTCTGAGGGGCTCCCCAGCAGGGAGGGGACGGGGGACACGGGGGGGGCTTCTCTGCGCCGTGGTGGTGGCTCCGTCCGTCCGTCCGTCCCTGGGCGAGTGGGTGGGGGGGGTCCAGGGTGGTTG